CGACTTCTTGTTAAAAACCAAAAGTTCAATTGCTTTGATATTACATATATAGATACTACATGTAGACCTTTCTCAGATTTGTTCATTTTGTGATGATATCTTCAGTTCTCTAATTTTGGTGAATATTTTTGTCATTTTTGGTAAAAAGTGATATTTTCAACTTCTTGTTGAAAACTGTAAGTCCGATTGCTTTGATATTACATATATAGGTACTACATGTGGACCTCTCTCAGATTTGTTTGTTTTGTGATGATATCTTCAATTCTCTATTTATTTTGGTGAATATTTTTGTAATTTTTGGTAAAAAGTGATATTTTCGACTTCTTGTTAAAAACTGTAAGTCCGATTGCTTTGATACTATTCATATTGTTCATTTTCTAATGATGTCTTCAGTTCTTTAATTGAAATGTGCATTGCTAACAGCGGAGCTATCTCAGCCGATAGGCTGCTTGTTTTTCCAGTGTTGTTCTTTTGCTTATATTCACTTTTCCCTTCAACAGTTACATGATTATTTCCACCCCTTCCTTTGGTTTGTGCATAATAATAACCACCTTTTTCAGTACTCTGCCCTTAATGTGCAATAATTATCTCTCCACCGGTGCTCTCTTCATTCTATTATTTATCTACAGAGGTAGTATTTCTGAGATAGCAAAGCCATCAAGGCCCCATTCACAGTTGCAATTAGCAGTAGAAGCATTGAATCCATCATTGGAACCATTGCAAGTACATCCAAAATCACAGCCACCTAGACCACCCACACTAGAAGAATGTGAAATGATCATTAGGCATTTCCAAAGGCAAAATGATAAACAATCACATGAGGTAAGTATCTTTTGTTTCTTGTGCTCCAGGTCCTGAAGAATAATCATTGTAGATGCTAGTTTGCTGGGTCAAATACTTCATGTCTTTCTTACTTAGAGTCAAGTAGAATCATTGTATATGCCAGTCTGCTGGGCCCAGACACTTATCGTCTTCCTTGCTTGAAGTCCAGTAGAATCATTGTAGATGCCAGTCAGCTGGGTCCAGACACTTCTCGTCTTCTTTGCTTCAAGGCCAGTAGACTCATTGTAGATGCCAGTCAGCTGGGTCCAGACACTTCTCGTCTTCTTTGCTTCAAGGCCAGTAGACTCATTGTAGATGCCAGTCAGCTGGGTCCAGACACTTCTCGTCTTCTTTGCTTCAAGGCCAGTAGACTCATTGTAGATGCCAGTCAGCTGGGCCCAGACACTTCTCGTCTTCTTTGCTTCAAGTCCAGTAGAATCATTGTAGATGCCAGTCAGCTGGGTCCAGACACTTCTCGTCTTCTTTGCTTCAAGGCTAGTAGAATCATTGTAGATGCCAGTCAGCTGGGTCCAGACACTTCTCGTCTTCTTTGCTTCAAGGCAGTAGAATCATTGTAGATGCCAGTCTGCTGGGCCCAGGCACTTCTTGTCTTCCTTGCTTGAAGTCCAGTAGAATCATTGTAGATGCCAGTCAGCTGGGTCCAGACACTTCTCGTCTTCTTTGCTTCAAGTCCAGTAGAATCATTGTAGATGCCAGTCAGCTGGGTCCAGACACTTCTCGTCTTCTTTGCTTCAAGTCCAGTAGAATCATTGTAGATGCCAGTCTGCTTGGCCCAGACACTTATTGTCTTCCTTGCTTCAAGTCCAGTAGAATCATTGTAGATGCCAGTCTGCTTGGCCCAGACACTTATTGTCTTCCTTGCTTCAAGTCCAGTAGAATCATTGTAGATGCCAGTCTGCTTGGCCCAGACACTTATTGTCTTCTTTGCTTCAAGGCCAGTAGAATCATTGTAGATGCCAGTCAGCTGGGCCCAGACACTTCTCGTCTTCCTTGCTTCAAGGCCAGTAGAATCATTGTAGATGCCAGTCAGCTGGGTCCAGACACTTCTCGTCTTCTTTGCTTCAAGGCCAGTAGAATAATCAAAAAAATAATCAGAACCAGTTTTCCTGTGATACCAATTCCTAATTAGACATGTTTATGTTGTCTTCCACAGTTAATGAGATTAAAAGCAGACCTAAAAGATGTTCTTTATTCACATAAATGGACACCTGACGCATATTTATTAGCTAAAGCATATGTAGCAGCAGAAGAAGGAGATCACGATCCACTAACAGGGTAAGTCTTATAATATATAGAGATGCACAATTTACATTAAGCCCTCCAATCTATATCTCTCTCCAGGGGTGATAAAAGTTGCTTTTCAAGATATTTTTATATCTTTATTGATGTTTTAGGACAGTATACCATTTTCGGTTCACTGCGAGATCCTGCGTAATGTGTGAAATTGGTTGTTGAAAATTGAACAGGACAAAGCAAAAATCATATCTCTATAGTGGCTTCAAAACATTATGTGGGGTTTGACAAACACAAAACTATTTTTGCCAAATTTCCATTTGTTGATGGACAATTTTGATGAAGTAAGGGTAATTTGGGTTCAAAATAATATCATTTGATTTTTGTGGCAGATGTTTAGTTCACGCCTTTCATGCATTATGCTAGATCTCAGTGAACGGAAAATCACAGATTATCTTGATCCTGATTTCCTCTTCTCCCAAAATTAATCTATGTGCATTGTGTTGAAACATTTGTAAATGAACAAACAAATGGGGAAAGTGAAATTATCAACAGCATTCAGACAAGCAGTTTTGTTGTTTATAATGTAGTACATTTTTCAGGTTGTTGCTCATTAATTATGCCATGTTTGACACCCCTTCGATTATCAGTTTCCTAGGAAACAATAATCCCTTGAACTGAATACCTATTGGCATATCTATCCCGACCTTCCTGTTAAAACCACTTTTGAGCTTTTAATACTTTGTTTTCTTTGTCCCTAGGGCTGCTAAATTGCCAAAAATACCGTTCAAGGGCCAATCACGGAAACTTCCCGAAGCAGCATTTCAAACTAGAGAGCATGTCAGCCTACCTGCTTTGAAACAGACCATGGGGAACAAAGTGGTGGATCGAAAGAAACGCGTTGAAGGACTTAAAAAACAAAGACAGCGTAAAGAAGTTGTTTTGTAGATTGAGATGTTTTATTCTTTATTTTTGTCACTTTCCCGTACTTTGTGTGTGCTTTGCTTATCCAATGCGCAGTGGAACATATTTATTTGAAGATTGATCTTGTTTTTCTCACAGCAAATTAAAATATTTTGCACAAAATGAAACAAGATTATCTGTTCAAAACAGTAGTATCACATCAACTTTGGTCACAAGGTCAACACATGGAATGTAGACAAATGGGGTCAGAGGTCATTCTGAAAAGCAGTTGGCAGGTGACTTTAACTTTTGTCTAATAGAAAAGGGTGTTTCAGTTCTTTTTTGCAAGAAATGAACTCTCTCCAAATTTGCTGATCACTGAGAAAAAATAATTCATCCACTCAGGTGACTAGTTTGCCAAACTGAGCACAAAAAAGAAATTTATATAATATATATATATATATATACATGTATATCATTGAAATTGTTTTCTTTCCAAACTAGCCAAATTTATTTTACAGGGTGACAACAAAAAGTACAGGATTTAAGATGAGTTCTTTTTTGTCATGCAAATAAGATCCAAGGCATCTTAGTGTTGCGGTATTCAAACAGCTGCCATATTTGCTTTATTAGAAGCGTTATACCTCGAGTAAAAACTTGTATTCTGAATGTGACCCATAGGAACACAACAAAGCAGAATAAGTAAAACTTTTAATGGAGCAAATACCGTTCTGTGATTTTGGAGAGGGAGGGGAAAGTACTGCTGTCAATTTGAACCGTTTCATTTGCATATCAGTATTACTGACTGAGCTTGAATATTTTGTCCTGGGTGCCGAGAATGTACAAGCTTTCTTTCAGAGGAGGGTGCTTTAGTGTTTTCTCTCTTGCTTATAAAATGTAAAAAAAAAAAGGTAGATTGTAGTTTGTTTTATTGTGAATTCTTAGATTGGGTGACCTATAGCATTTTACAAGATGCGTGTACCCTGGATGGCTATGACCTCTTAGTCTTTTTGCGAGAGTGTCCGCACATCAACACAACTGGTAAATAAACATGCCAAGAGGATGGCAGTTAAAATGTGACATGCCTTAGTTGGAAATGTTCAGTAATGTAATTACAAATCATGTATGCAGTGCGGTGCGGTTTTCATAATGCTGTGAAGAAAATTACCCTCTGACAACTGCGACTTCAATATATATCCTAGTTAATGTTCCCTTTGCCACAACCCTCACGTGTCGTTGTAGACATGTACGGTGCAGCAGAATTGACTGGAATCATGAAGTTGTACCAAAAACAAAAATTTTCTGATCAATATCGGATTTCCTACATCTTAGAAGAGAATGTCTACTGATAAATGCATGTACTTCTGGTAAAATGTCACTTTCTTGGCATGGACAATATACTATTGGAATTCCCTGTTACCAGCAATGCTGGAAATGTATATAATAGTGGACACTTGCAGCATGGCAGTTGAAAGTGATGTGATATACAGTGTTGTCAAAGACAAGGTGTTTCTAGTTTGTAAAGTATTCCACTTTTTCTCACAACAATCTTGCATTGGAAAATTGTCATTGAAATTTACAGACATTTAGTACTTGGTCTTTTATTGGTTAATAAGCTTAATTAAAAGGGGCACTTTTTCTGTGTAGAAGGTTTTTAAGCTTTTAGACTTAAGTTAAACATTAAATTATATAGTATATATCAATTGAAAAACTGTCTTGTGTTTTCTTTGTCTATTTTATTGATATTCAAACACTATTCATCGAACATTTCTGCAAGTTTCCAGCATCAAGTCACTGCACGAGATCTTCAACAAAACTATTACAAGTCAAGCTAATGCTTTTAACTGGTTATTCAAAGTCACAATGGGAGTATTTACAGTTAGTGTCTGGCTGTTCCACCATTTCAAGAACTAATTTGATGGGACACACAAGATTAGTTTGCATAATAATTAGCAACTTTTTCAGGTTTTCCATCATTGCATTGCACAGACCGATTAGTGTACCGATATCTGACATGTTTAGGGTTAAACGGTGCAACCCAATTTATAGGTATTCCACTTCGTACATGGATGCTTTTGGATAATCCAACAGATTACCTACTTCCATGAATAGTGTCTTTCGACCTCAATTAATATGCATAACTAATATCTTGAGCACTACTGCAGATAAGAACAGATATGATTTTAATACTCGATTCTTGATAAAAGTCCAAAGTTTAATATAACAAGTACTACAATTTGTATCACAATATTATTTATTGTTAGGCAATTTACAGAGTAAACGTACTAAATCTTGAAATCTTATTTCATTTATGCCACAGTACAAATAAAACAAAAAGAACTTCCGTTTAAAACACCGGGGGCGCTGTGATTAAACATGCTGGCTGGAAAATGATCAACCAATAATTTCCCAGCTAAGTGCATGTTATTATATGTTAACAAGT